ATCCCGGCGATTATATGAGGTGCTCAGCTATATTGTCAAAGCATTTCTTATCAAGATAAATGAAGAACATACTAATTGAAAAGTCTCAACATCAGAAGTTACAAAAAGAACAATCTCGGTTCCACTCCTGTGTTTTGTATCCTACTAACGACTTTTTAGATAAATTTAACTCTGTAGCACTTATCTATGCAAACACCTTCAAGATCTAGGGGTCCTTAAAACGTGAAGAGAATTCACTTAAGCTTCAAAAGAATGTTGCAACATTAGAAGGGGGAACAGACAACAGACTAAAACTTATCTGTTGAGATGGCATGTCACGCCTCGTTTGATACGATTAACTTACTTCCTCCATAGAAATCAGATCCCGGTTGCCTCATATAAGCGATACCTGGCTTATAACTACAGGGAGGTTTAACACCAGTCCAAAGTACACAGCAGATGTAGCCAAGGCAAACACAACTCACAATATTATGCGTAGATACCTCGGAGCTGTATCTCTCAATGTTTGAAACCTACGAAACGCTTCACGATATCGTGCCTCTCTTGTTATCATCCCTGCTAATCTCTTGTTCCTCTAAGTCCGTCTTCTCGCATATCACAAGTTACTCGACTTGTCTGTTATTCTTGAAACAAAAATCTGTTTAACACTTAAATTATCATTTTGTAATTATCTTCACATTGTGAACAATCAGCCTCCTGACTGGTAAATGTATAGCTGCTGATAATAATAATTTCCACTGTCCTGAGATAAACACACACGCTCAAACCTCTAGGTATACAAATCGGCTAATAACTAGAATTAATGTAGTCAAGTAGTTACACTACCAACCATTGAAGATAACTAAATATCTGAATCCGTACTGATGTAACAATCAACAACCTCAAAGAAATCAACTGTTTAATACAAGCTCGTAACAAATATATCGAAGATATTGGGGAAGCATTACATATTCCTAGGAATTCAGAAGAGTATTTTACTAGAGTTAACCAATATTTTTCTGTTTATTGTTAAATACAACCAGGTTCATACATGGAGGCATCGGTGATCTACTGATATTAGATGTGAAAGCCGGTTAGAAGAAAGCTTCTTCTATTCCTTTCAGAAACACTTGTTTGTTGTACGTTGTCGTGACAATATAAACGGCGCCTTATTTACTTGAACTAAACACTATCATACTGTTAACAATTATCCATAATCTACATCTGTCCGGCGTTTGTTGAATCATTGATTTTCTCGTTGTTATGCACCTGAGTTTTATATTCGGATTTTTCGGACAGATATATGCACCTGTCCTCGCTAAATTTATACACGTTATTTATCAAGCTGCTCTTAGTAGCCGAAACCTTAAGTTCAGCTTTAAGTTTATAAACAATTAAACTAAACAAAAACATTCGTCAATATGATGCTTTCACGTTCTAAACCTGCTTTCCAGAAACAAAAGGCTGTTCCAATACAATCAAGAAAGATTCCGAATTTAATTGAATTCGTTGACAAGCGCGATTTCACCGGGGCACTAACGCTTTCGGACTTTGAGCGCTGCTGTGGTAATTCAAGTATTGAGACAGATCTATGGGTAGCATACTCAGCTTTTCATTTGGGAGAATACAAAAAAGCCGCCGATGAGTATAGGAAACTTCTCGAAAAACCTAATGTGCCTCCAGACGTTCACACGTATCTCGCATGTTGTTACTTTTTCCTCGGAATGTACCAGGAAGCAATGAAATCTGCTAAAGATGGCCCAACATGTAAACTACAAAGTAGACTTTTGTTCCACATAGCTCATAAATTAAATGACGAACGCGCCCTTCTCAGTTACCACAATTCGTTAGACAACTCAATAGAAGATCAACTATCACTGGCGTCAATTCACAGCCTTAAAAACCACCATCAGGAAGCTATTGATATATATAAACGCATCTTACTGGATAATAGAGAATACTTGGCATTAAATGTAAACATAGCTTTATGTTACTATAAGATGGATTATTACGATATATCTCAGGAAGTATTGGGAATATACCAGCAACGTTATCCGGATAGTGCAACGGCCATTAATCTAAAAGCATGCATCAATTTCAGGTCGTACAATGGCAAGGCAGCCGAAGCGGAACTAAAAGCTCTTCACTGTGTTTCTACTTCATCATTTACATATGCACAAGACCTCATTAAGCACAATTTAGTTGTGTTCCGTAATGGGGAAGGAGCTCTGCAGGTAATATTGAAATTAAATTCCATAATGTTTTCTAACATACATGAATATTGTCACTGTTATTATATGATAAGATCCTATTATATTTGTAGCTTCTTGTTGCCAACCTTACAAGAACTGATTTATGACCAATTTCCCCGTACATTATTTTTTTAAAATGAAGGGCTGGTTTATTTAAATTTATTGAGCTTGTTTGGATTTTTACTGTAGTGAATGAAACCCCAGGTTATGTGACACAAATTCGAAGCTGAGAATTCGTATTAGATGGTAAGTCTTCCTGTCATTTACTTACAAGCAGTAAGAATGATTTAATCAAAGACTAAACTCTCTAAAATATACGTATCTTCTATTTAAATGGGTACTGAGAACAGATTCTGGACCCTAGTGGAAACTCGAATACTAAATGAAGTTTTGATGCGTCGCGTAAAAAATTCAAGTGTGCGCGCACCAAAGGCTTATTGGCATTATATCCGCTTACTTATTGATGTTTAGAAAAAAATTCTTGCATGGCTGAGCTACTGATTATACTTTTAAAGGTTAAATGCGTTGATTTAGGTGAAGAAAGTACACCTGGATAAGAATCTCGTAGTTACTATACGGTCCATAGCTCCCCATGTGCTGTTGTGGGAAAACTTTCCGATGTTATTCAAGAAATGTCCTAGCAATGACTTCCTATTTACCAGTAACATCACTTCGAGATACATTTACAACCTAACAGTATGGCCAATCTGGTCTTACTGTACTTTTCATTATCCTTGTCCCTTGTGTTAATAAGTTAAAAAAACTGGAACTGACTTATTTCTACTTGATCTTCAATACTTCCTTGTTAATAAATTTAAACTGTTCAAAGACGGCAGAAATGTGATATTTTCTGTCACATATAAATAGGTAATTTTATTGAAAACCATTTAATAGTTTATATCACTAGAATAGTCGATTATCTCACCAAATTACAATACAGTGAATATATGTATATTTTTTAGGTGCTACCACCCTTGTTAGACGTCCTGCCAGAAGCAAGACTTAATCTAATCATCTTCCATTTGAAAAATGACGAACTACAAGAAGCATATGAACTTACTAAAGAAATCGACCCTAGCACACCACAAGAATATGTACTAAAAGGAGTTGTGAATGCTATTATGGGTCAAGAGCATGGGTCACGTGAGCACTTGAAGCAGGCTCAACAGTACTTCCAGCTAGTGGGAGGATCAGCCAGTGAATGTGATACAATATCTGGACGTCAATGTATGTCTTCTTGTTTTTTTCTTCTTCGACAGTTTGATGATGTTCTTATATATTTAAACTCGATAAAAAGCTACTTTTATAATGACGATATATTTAATTTCAACTATGCTCAAGCTAAGGCAGCTGTAGGAGCCTATAAGGAGGCACAAGAAGTGTTCTTGCTCATCCAATCAGAACATATTCGTTCAGAATATACCTATTTAAGTTGGCTAGCAAGGTGCTACATAATGACTAAACAAGCTCGTTTAGCATGGGAGCTATACCTGAAAATGGAAACTTCAGCCGAATCCTTCAGTCTGCTGCAGTTAATAGCTAACGACTGTTACAAAATGGCACAATTTTATTACGCCGCTAAGGCATTCGATGTACTAGAGAGATTGGACCAAAACCCAGAATACTGGGAGGGTAAACGTGGAGCATGTGTCGGTGCCTTCCAGCTCATAATAGATGGACAAGAACCAAAGGAAAGACTTCGAGAGATAATCCAAATCTTGCGTAATACAAATAACCCTCAGACAGAATATCTTATACGTGTAATGAAGAAATGGGCAAAAGAAAACAAGATTGTTGTATAATGATGACCATAAACTGTTGTATGATTTATGCGTGTATAATAATTAAACAAATTCATGAATTCTTCATAAATGTTTGTTATTCTTAACGAAATCTGAGACGATAGTTAATTAGGAGTATAAAGGAAAGAAATCATCTATCAAACGCTGAAAAACCCTTCAAAACTAGATAGACTTTTCTCAAAAAAAACTATTTATATCGATGTAATTTGACTAATTCTTTATTTACCATAAATATATAGCGAACTGTCCTATCAAACGATTAAACACCATATTTTAAGAAGGAAATGATACAAGAATTAGCCTGCATATTCAAGCAAGCAAGTTTCGCTTTTCTTTGCTCGTACGTTTCGTTACTGCCCCCAAATGCCCTGGTACGGCCGAGAGTGGGGAGAGTTCGCTCTCCCTCTCTAAATGCTCTCACATGGCCACGCCTATATAGCCTCTGCCAGGGAAGTCCTATTCACTGCATTCTCGTGGCGGGGGTGTTGTTTACGAAATTGAGAGGACGAAAAGAGAATGTCCGGCGCTTTAACCGGGTTGGTGGATACGAAGGATCCACCTAGGAAAGTTGGAAAACCCTGATTCCAAACAAATGGTGCACATGGGCTCCAGTACCTTGAAGGAACAAATGACGTATGAACCAATTATTGGTCACCGGCTACCATGGGACTGCATCTCCTTACGATGCTCCACTGCCTTGTGGATCAAACCTTCAGGTCGAAGGCTCCGTGTGTGGCCCCCTAAGAAAACCACCTGCCTCGGTTTGGGTACCCAGGCAGTATCACAGCCCTCACACGTATCAAATGAGATCTGTGTGTCGCATATGTAATTTGGTGCCTCCTTGTGCCAATATCTGTGTTAAAATAAAAAAACGTTTCGTCACTAAGTCACAATATAAAATATCGTGAAACGAAAAATTTAAGGATATTTCCTTGTCTAGAGACATGATTAGCAAACTAAACTCGAGACATAAGTGAAAGCTTTTTCTTAGGATTGTCACAGGAAATACGGTCGTTAAAGAGTGAAAATTAGTAGTTCAGTTTTAGAAGTCGTGACTTGTTCCTTAAGTAAGACGGACACAAAGCAATTTTAGGTTGAGCAAAATGATTAGAATATGTATAAGAACAATGAGTAAGGATTGACAGATTATTAAACAAACAGTAAACGTAGTCCATATATTTAGGAGTCATGATACTATGAGACGAATTGTTGATGTGATCGAAAATGAAGCAGATTGAGACAACTTCCCATATACAGTCGATTTCAATATTAAAAAAATAAATTGTACACCACAGGAGGCAAAATAAAGAACAACATGAATGGAAGAACAATGTACTTTGTAAGAGACAATTCAAGAAAGATGTGCATATAGTGTATTTAATGTGTTGTTTTCATATTTTAAACAGACACTGCGTAATTTTTCATAATATAACTGATTTTCTCTGCACAAGCCTTCATTGAATACAATATGAAAAAAATTGAGTTTGAAGAAGAGTATTACAACAGCTAACCTACATTACATTCAGTGTACTACTTACATCTTATTATAAATAGATCAAGCAAAGTACAATATCACACGAAAGAGCATTACGTAGAACTGCCAAGTCTTTTAATTATGACATAATTGTAGAAAATCAACATAAATAGGAAGGGGTTATGAATGTTTGAAACAAAAAAAACAATGAGTTAACAGTAGGTAATATAGTTAGAGTTGTGGGAAGACAATAATTACAAGTGACACAAAGTAACGAGCAACGGCATAAATGTAAGAGATTAATGTAACACAGGTTTATTATATATATACTGAAAAAAATAAGGTAGGACTTCGGTTTATTTTTCAAAATGTAGTTTAATTAACTCATCAATTCTGTGGAGATCCTTCAAGGAATACTGTGCACTACCACGAGGAAGAGGTTTACTCTATAAAAAAAAGAAACAGGAATGATGTAATTATTAGTTCAATAAATTATCTGTTTCGTCTATTTTAAAAGGGCACTTTAATACTTTATTAATGATTTAGAAATTTAAAAAAAGATTAAAGGTGATGAGATTAAAAAAATGGGTTTAAAAAATGGTCGCCGAATTTCGTCTTAAGCACAGTGAGATGTAGAATTTTTAACTAAAGGTTTTTGTGATCATAAAAACTATCGGTAATTTCAAAAATTGATTAAAGTTGTCCAAATCACGTCAGTGTATTTTTACACCTAAATATGAAGCATCATATCACCGTTTATTCATTTTTATTTATCTGACAGTAACATATTGTGCATATAAATTTTCTCCAAATAAAAAATACTGCTTTAGGACTAGTTTGAGTTAATCAGTCATAATTAAGACAGGGAGCCTAGTACAAATGTTCGTCAGCCAAAGTTGTCATACCACCACGTAAGCAGGATGAAATAAAATTAACAAGATGAATAGAGAAGAAGTCGAAACAATCAACTCATTGAAGTGAATCAGTAGCTTAGTCATTAAGCTTTTAATCAATATGATACAAGTCCAAACTCCGGTTCACTTATTTTAGTATGGGGCAATTGGATAGTGTTATAAACTCGTGGACAAAAAGTATGACTGAAAGACATTTATAAGAATCGGTACTTGATTGCTGAGTTGGATTAAATTAAATTTCATTTAACAATTTGTTGTTATCATTAAGTTAAGAAACATAACAAAGAAGAGTATTTATGAGGGGTATTCATTTTATAAATGGGTAAGGTCATATATTACACTAAAGTCACAAATATGCAAACAGGGAGGATATTGCCACTTCGCTAAATAGTTAATCATATGTTCACAATTAGTAGGGACTTGGAGTACCTTAAAATACAGTTCGACTCACAATCATAAAGATGTATTACTTGGTATTCGACTAGGATTAAGAAGTTTAAAATACTTCAGTCAACAAATAACGAACAATGATCACTTACTTGAGAAGGATCAGGTTTCCATCCAATAAAATATAACAGCCGATAGGTTGCCGGAATACAGCGTTCATTCTCTTCATCTTCACGAGGAACACTGAATTTCTCTATAAAAAGTGATACAATTTGAATTTATTAACTAGCAACATACAAGATTCGAAAAACAATAGAGGTATATATACATATTTTTGTTGCATATCTATGAAGTAACTAGACTATATATCTTTACATTCCCTTCATTACAAACTTTTGTTTGACCTACTGACTATTATTATACGATTTACTATTCTTAAGATATTCCGAAGTTACCAGTTACAGAATCCCACTCACGGCCACTATAGGCCTGATCTCGTATAATTGTTGTTTTCCATTTTATGGTGTGATGCGATCTATTTTGCTTGTATATGAACTGCGTATGTGTGAAATACAAAATTCATACAGTGGAAGCTGAGACTGTGTTCTGGATTCAATGGTTAGGGCTAGACGAGAAAGACTCAGAGTTGACTCTAGGCTGCTCGTGATGGTTAACGTGCCGTTGGTTTGATACAGGGCCAATTTCTATAAGTCGATGTTCTGACTAGCGAACTTGTCACATGATAATAAATAGGGCAAATATATATATAACAATTTCCTAAAATTTTTAACAGTTAGGTTATAAGTGGGTCGTACACTCAATTGGTGAAACTTTTACCTCACTACCAACTACACGACTGACACCAAGGGACAACAATTTCAGAAACTAAGGCTACTGTTTTCGTTTGTGATATAGCTAAAAAAAAGTACAGGCAATAGTTTTAATAATGGTTATCAAGCACAATGAAAAAATACAACTACTCATTCTTTTCTACATTTAATCCAAAAACACAAGTTCAATCTTGACTAATTAAAAGAATAATTAAGATCTACCAAAAAAAATCTATTATGAAGAAGATTTTTCGAATAGTATAAATAGGTTTGCAGTGTTCTAGAAAACACAAAGACAATATAGCATGTATATTAAAAAATCAGTGACTTAATAAAGAAAGCATATTTTTAACAAATGATAAGAAAGAAAGCACTAAACATGAGAATATATGATGGGAAGGAAAAAAACACATGTCCGCATAGGATGAACATATGCCAACAAGAAACTCATCAAGTGCAGTCCTAAATAACAATGTGAAGATACAAGTAAAACAACACTAAGTGAGTTAAAAAGATGTTAGGTATTCGAAGGATTTGAAATTGAACTTCTATAAATTCTAGAGAGTTGGAGATGACAGTTCAACAACAATAAGTCCCCTTGGCGATTGAAGAGAGGAGATAGGAATTTAAGAAGAGTTTGATATTACAAGATGTAAAATTTGTGATACAACAACTCTGTTTATATGGTAACGATTGTAGTCTCAAGATATATAGCAAACTAAAGATCTGAAAGAAACCAATGAGACTATAGAAAAGGTCAGTGGGGTGATATGAATTGAAAAAGAAGTTACTGAGAACATATTTGTTCATCAGAATTACCGCTAATTGATAAAACTAAAAAGAGCCAGACAATTTGAATCCTTTCTAGCAGAACTATACATTGATGATTGCATCTATTAGTTCATGATAACATGATATCAAGTAGAATTGTACAAAATCTTGCAAAATAGAGAGGGATTCGAATTCGTCAACAATTCTTATTCCATATAACATTGGTTAAATAACCTATGAAATTCTTAAGAAACGTGTGCAATGCATGAAGTCACCTACAATCGTAGCTGTAAATTCAATATCCGCTCAGAGTGTGACGGTAAATAGTTTCGTGACTACTATCTAAAGAGCTATATTCAATTAATTTTAGTTGGTATATAGAATAACTGAACAGGCACTTCGACATAACCTACGTTTACAAATTGATTATACCTTAAATAATGGCATAGACATTTCAGTCGTCGATTCCCCTATAAGATGAAATTTACATCTCGAATTCCTCTGTTAAATATTAGAGAAAATCAAATTGAGAAACAAATGTATAACAACGCCTGTATAAGAAACATCTTTAAACTCACAAGAAAACTATATTTGAATTACACAGCTAATAATTCCAACAAAGGATGACTTTATATCTTGTCAAAATATGTCCATCTGAATATTGTATTTCATTTGAACAACAAGACAATTAAACCAAAACATATGATAGTACAATAACCGTGATTTACCATTGTAAATTGCAGAGGCAGCAAATAGAACATCACGATTCAAACGTAATGGTCTATGAACAGTAGCATTAGATTCACCCATAAATCGTAGATCATTCATTAACGCAAATATATCTGGATAGTGAATTACAATCTCATCGATATCCTAAGAAAGTTGCAATGAAAATTTTTATTGATTAAGTGACAAAAAACAAATGACTGAGTGATTAAATGTTGGAGATTTACATTTCTTTTGTATGTTACGTTTAGTTGTGCAAATAATTGTGTAATATGAAAGATAAAGAAAAGCACCTGAACTAGGACGTGAACGCTGTCCAGATTTAGAAATTTAACGATAAAAAACATTCAATGAAAATGACATTGCACTAATAGGTCTTCTAAGTGAACGCTCGAATCACTCGCTTAAGCTCTTATTTTAACCCCAAGCTGAATCTACTCAGCAACTTGAACATGAGAGAAATGGCTGGTTTACGCACAGCAAATCGAGAGTATTTATAGTATTTCTGGTGCAATTTGGATTTCTGGAATAACCTGGAATCAAGCTAAATATAGTAGCAGGATAGATAATTATCTAATCAGAAATGTGGTAACGTGAATCTTCATTTTCTAGATGTTTCTGAAAAACGTATATTCAACGCTGACTGGATAAAATATTTCCCAGCGTTTTCATGACAATTTGGATCAAAGAAGATTCATAACATTAAATGATAAATGAGTGACTGGATTTTGATATGACGAGATAAAAAGACTATACTATTTAGGCTAATATTTATTGTATCAACTCAGTATACACTTCATTTAATATGACAAGTATGAACTTTCATTCAGTGTGATAATTATATGCCCTGTATCAATTCAAGTGTGTGTACTTTCCCTTACATGTGATATTATTGTAGGTAAAGATTAGCATAGAAATGTATTTTGGTCTACTAAGGACGTGAGTTTTGGATTTGGGGACGTATTTTTGGAGAGCCAATAACCCTACATTGCACTAATGTTTCATGTCCATACTTTACATCGAAGAAATTATAGTGATTCCCGTTTCAAATTATAAGCAGTAGGACTACGATATTACAGATTTCTTCACATTAAGTGATCAGTTCACAAAAAATAATATGAATAAAAGAATAACAGAGCTACGTAATCCGACGGGTTGATAACTTAAATGTACAAGGAAATTATTCAAATGATTGGATGTTTCTTTTATTTGGGGAGGGGAAAGCCAACTACTCACTAAGATACATCAGAATAAAGATAACATTACAATAATATTAGGGGATATTAATAATGAAAGTTGTAATAAAAAACACATGATGTAAGAAAAGCATAAAATCTGACAAATAATTACAATTATAAAATAGTTAAATGTTTTCTTTAACTTGGTTATCCGACAGACAGTTTACTGTTGCGTCTGTTATTGAACAGTGTAAATCTTATTAAGCAAAGGTGGATAGTGGCAGTGGAATCCAGGACGCGCGTTTCGTCCTATTTGGGACTCGTCAGCTGGATGTACCTGCATCGCAGAGTTGGTGTTCACTCCGGGACTCGAAGCAAGTGCCGTTCGCTTCAAACGCCATCGCGTTATCCACTTAGCTATTGAGTCCTGATAGCCACTTGCTTGTGCAATGGGGTGAAGTTTAAATTCACTTGGTGTTGTTTTACTTGTATCTTTCCATTGTTAAGCTTGTGACTTAAGGCTGAATCGAGGCAATCCGTACAGGATGAATATATGCCAACATGAGACTGATCAATTGCAGTCCTAAAGAACGATGGGAAAATACAAGTAAAACAACACCGAGTGTAAATGTTAATTAAGAATCCCTAGTGATGATGAGATAAAATCTACTTTAAACATACTAGCATGGGATACTTCAGCAGTATGCATCTATGACCTCATCGGGGATTGAAACCTGAACCTTCAAGTCTTATGATGAGTGGTTAAACTCCATATCCCTGAGTTGGTGTTCAACCAACCCCCCGATGTGGTCGTGGATTCACACTACTGAGGATAAGTCAATTGATGGTTATACCGTCCCAAAAAAAACTCTTATTTTCTATTACTTCCAATGTTGTTTAAAATATGATGAAAAAAAGTATCTCCAAATCAGTCAAAAATGTTAGAATGTGACTTCAGAATAAATATGATCAATAGAAAAAAAGAACACCGTTCAAATAGACATTATCAACATAATATACTTACCAATGTGATTAAATTGAATCCAGCACATTGTAACAAATTAGCCATATCTACACTATCCACGAATGGACTGATATGCGATGAGATTCCGCCTAATCTTTCTAATTCAGCTAATTGCAATGATACACGCAATTCATACAATGTATCCATTGCTGGCATCACACCTAATAAGCACCCATCATTACGTAAACATGTTAATATCTAAGTAGAGTTTGTTAAAGTAAAGAAGGGATAATTGGAAACAAATGAATGAAAAGAAAATTTTAAAAAGAATAATTAAACTAGGCTGTAGCCTAGCCTACTAATCTGTAGCAGTTCTTGTTATACTTCTATTCAATCTACTTTTTACCTACTAAATATACCATTTTAGCTTGATCACGTATATTATGAGCTTGGATATTATTTGCTGATAACCTTGAGTGTTCTTTATATATGAGTATGTGTACATGTGTCTATTCGTTTCGCTTACCTGTACTTTACACGCGGTCTACATAATGTGACGTTAGTTTAGATCTATGAGGAGGCGGCATCGCCTATGTGGATGCGGGTCAAATGATTGGGTAATTGAATGCCTGAACTATTTTTATGCAGAAATATGTTTCTTATTTAATTTTTATTATCTACGTTGTGTTAACGTGGTCAATTGGTAGAATCTATACGAAGTTAATAGGATCTATATTTCGTTAGCATCATTTATCATGGAATCAACTCAGTGACTCGAACTTTACTATGCAAACATTAACAACAGACACTCTATGCTAATTGATATTATATCAGATATGGAGCTTTTGGGATTTTGCGATGGATGTTTTTTATCACTGTAGCCCTCGAAGGAGAATGTGGTAAACAACATTACGTAATTTGTTGTTTGATTATGTTTTTAGTGTTATGTCGTCGAAAATGTTGTTGAACAAACCGTGATAATTTTCTAGCCGATTCTTTTTGATAATGACGAACGTATCGTCCATACAGAGTATCTGAACTTTTGGTTTGACCATTGGTAAGTGTTAATTTTGCATACGTATCTTATTCGATGATCTTTTGTGGTGTATTATACTACTGAATAATGTTCAGTAACTAGTTCAATTTTACGTCATTTTAAAGGCATATTATACCACGCTTTTTTCTTGTTATGTAACAACTCCTTAAGTATTTACAGGAATTTGTCATACAATATACATATAATTGTAATTGTGACCTACCAAGTTTCGTGCATTCATTGACTCTTTGTTTACATGCAACAGTTCCCATATTTTGAGCTAGTAAGCTACCGTTTCGATTGTTGACAGTCATTGTTAACTTTAGATACAGCAACTAGCTGTCATTCGTATTATCGTATGTTGTAAACGATCTTTAAGTGACTAATTTATGGGTATTTTTCCTTCCTATGCACACTGATGTATTAAACTTCACGGATACCCCATAAATTAAAGTTCGCAACTATTTTGCATTTATTTTTCGCTTCCTAAACGAAATCTTGGTGATAAACTATGATTTTCTGAACGCTACCATGTAGCGTGATCAGACGCTCAAATAGATTTAATAATATCAAACTCTGATCAAGAATCTGTTCAATGCTCTCCAATTCTCAATAGTACCTCAAATAAGATCAATATTTATGAGGAATACTAACTGTGAAACAAACCAATCTCTACAAAACCCCTTCAAACAATCAACTAAAGTTATAATTTGGTTTTTATGAATTGGCAAAAGTAAAATGTTCAATATCACTGGTAATAAATATAAGTGTATTGATGAAAAAAGAAGAATGAACATAAAAGCAAAATATATAATTCATTTTAAAATATTTACTTGTTTTAATAAACCAGGCAGATCGTTTATCCAGTGTAGACTTTCAAATTTACATGGAAATGAATTTTTAAAAAAAACAACAACAATCAGATAGACAAAATAATCACTTACTGGAATAAAGGTATAAGATAACACAAAAGCTGAGTATCATGATAAATTCATTTGTATAATTTAGTGGTATAAATGGACATAATGTATAAAAATCAAGCTTTATAATATCTCAGTGATGATTTATAATTAAGTGGATGTAACCACTATGCCTAGATAGAATATTTTACATTTTTTTCGAGGATAAATGGGGAATTTTGAAATAACTTTCGACATCTTCATAATATAACAAATGATCATTTCATATGAACTGTACAGTGTTCATAAACAAGATAGACTAAATCAATAGTTGAGAACGTTATGTAACTGCCAAATTTGCATAAGAAGAGTTATGTCTATTGAGATTTCTGGTTGGTTGACGGTAAATTCTATTTACAGACAATTGACGACCCTTTAAATATGGTGTAACGAATAAGGGCTCGAATAGACTGGATATCTATCACACAAACCACGTCAGAACTGATAATCTAAACGCTAACAGAGACAAAGAGACTTTCAGAAAACTTTATATACCGTATAGAGGTTGAAAATTGAAAAGGAACAACTCTGTCTATATGGTTACATGCAACGACCTTGAGGCAAAACAGGATTAGCGAACTAAGGGGATAATAACCAAACACGTAACAGTAAAGATTATTGCGGGGATATGAATTCGAAAAATGTCATCTAAGCTTTTCTATAAAGAAAGAATCGACCTGTAATAACAATATAAACTTAGATAACCTGAAATCTCCTTAGCAGTTACATTGTATTTTGAAATTAATTGCAGTAGAGCAATGGGCCAGTTGGTTAAGGGTCTCGACTTTCAGCCACTAGCTCACAGGTTCAAGTACTGCTTTACTTACTTCGGTTGGACAACCGGATACTGTCACTAGCCCTTATACTTGGAATGCTACTCGAATCGAAGTAAACGTGTCTGTACCTGGCGAGCTGCAAACAATTGTAATAACAAAAATGGAGTTCATGTTTATATTTTTTGTAAAGACAGTGATAAAGAAGTGAATTATGATCCCAGTCAGTGATGTATTATTAAAACGTCAAACAGTTATGTATAGAAGTCAGATACTTTAAACACCAAACCATAGTATGACTATGTCATTAAATAACATAGTTTAGATAACCTTGTAAGAAGGATACTTGAAATTCATTGGGAGGCTGAAAAATGACTAAAAAGAATTAACGAACTAGGGAATATGAAAACTAGATTCACATTCAATGGGTTCCTTTTCGTCCTTTCCCTTTTTAATATAATTAATTTAATGACATACACTTGTCAGTATAGTTGAATGCGAAATAGCAGTTAGGTAGCGAAATTCGAGAAAAGCATTTATCTTTCATTTAAGACTCATTATTTGGATATAAACCGATTCCAATATTGATGTTCCCACTAGAAACTCGGAATCAAAACCTATCGCCTGGAACACTGAAACATTGTGCACCATTCAGTGAAAATAACCAGTAAAATTTTATTCAGCGTTATATGATACATTATTAATTGTAAGAGGAAATTGAAATGCCTACACAATCAACTAGCATAGATTAAGAAAATAAAAGCGACTTTACCTCATGGAGCTTAGAACTAAATCTAGAGTATTTGGTCGAAAGGGTAGACAGTATTCATGGCAATTTATGTTATACGTACAAACTTCTGCAGATGGCTTAATCTGTTTCTAAACAAAAAAATCACAAAAGGGAGGATATCAAGAAAACCTTAATTACAAATATATCATAAAATTACTGACTAAAACTATTATCATTGAGGTTTAGTTGTACAGGTGTGAGTCTTTTCGTTATTGATGATAAGGACTGGAATTAATCAATTTCTTTTGGTATATGTGTATTCTTAGCGAGCTGACTCGACGTATATAAGCGTTAAGTTACAATTGTTTTTGAGCAAAGTTGTATAGGGAATAGTGATTAAAGTGTTTCATCTCATTTAGGACTCATCACCCAACTTTGCTTAAAAATACTACAATTGTAGTTGAATGATGACTTAGTAAAATAAAAAGTTGTTGTTGTTACGTGTATAAACTATAAATTAGGTAAAGATTAAGCGATTAGTGAATTATTTAATAACCTGATGCCTACAGTATATGAATTGGTGCTTGATAAAAAAAAGCCTAGTAATATTAGATTTAAAATGATAGAAAATTTTGAATTTCATATACTCACTATATTTCATCTTCTGTATCTCTTTCAAATCTTTGTAGCAATGTCATATAACATTTAAAAAATATATTCAACGTTCATCCACCTGATAGGCTAATACTAAACTGGATAACAGATTGGGGATACTAGACAATACACTAGATTAGATTACATGAAGCACAGATACACAATTTTAACCAATTTGGAACTAAGTTGTAGGCTAGACAAATATAAGCAGTTCGTGCACGGTGAGACTGAGAGCAGAAATCATGGTTACACTATAAAAATTCCCTTATGTTACAAATCACAGACTGGGTATTTATCTTTGTATAGTGACCAATCACGGCTTATTTTCATCTGACATATCAAAATGCCAACCAGATTACTATATAATAAACTTATACTAAATTGTTTACGTAAGATGGTATGGCTTATTCGTTTCTAGTCAACATATAAGGCGTTTTTGCTATGAAGTATTTTGATGTTGTTATAATAATAGAGTATGATAGCTTTCAGTGAAAGGTTTATCAACCTATAAGTCATCTGGTAACTGATTAGTTTAGTGGCTAACACATTGATGTTTGAAATGATTTCTAATGGAATTTAGGTAAATAATAATGGAGATTTATGTATAGAATATAAAATATATCATGTAATTCACATTGATATGTCCTGTTCAAATTACTACTGTATACTATTCATTATTATTTCAGTTTGAAATAAATAAGAGGGGAATGGGTAAATGAAGTGAGTATAATTAATTATAACAATCCCCCAAATGCATGGTACAGCGGAGGGTGGGAGATTCAGGTCTTTCTCCGAATTCTCTCAGATGGCCACGCGTATACAGCCACTGTCAGAGAAGTCCTACTCACTATCTTCTCACAGTATTACTGTTGTTTAAGAAATTAAGAGGTCGAAAATCGAGTGCTCGAGCTTTAACCGGGTTGGTGTTTATGGAGGATCCACCTAGGGGAGTAGGAAAACCCTGAATTCAAACCAATGGTGCACATGGGTTCCAGGATCCTGAGGAAACAAAAGGCGTATAGACTTAATGTTAGTCACCAGCTATCATGGGACTACATCTAAAGCCCCATTGCCTTGTGGATTAAACCTCTCGGTAAAAGGTTCGGGGAGTGACCCTCCAAGAAAATTATCTGTTTCAGTTTTGGCACCCGGGCAGTATTCCAGCTCTCACATAGATCGAATGACGAAGTGTGACGCATACGTATTTGGGGCCTTCTTGTACCAATGTTTATGGGTTTAAATAAATGAATAAATAAGGTTATAACAAATATCACAACTGTATCTAGTTTAGTTAGAGGACAATTTCAAAAATTCTCCCTCAAAATTAATTAGGTTTATACGGACATATGTTAATTGCTTTGAGCAAATAGCACTAGCAACTAGGAGAAAATTAATTAGTGATGGAATAATTTAATTTTAAGTTCGTTGATGAACCTGTACAAACGGTGATAGGTGGAACATATATCCTCTACTATCATTCACGCATACTTTAAACTAAGACCGCTGTGTTGTTGTTGGGGTATATGGGATGGTTAACTTTGAGTTTTTCACACTATGGGAGGATATCTCTTCTTGAGGAGACATAAAATGACTGATTTAATAGTCATTTTGTCAACCTACGGAGTGACGACTGAGACAACTCTTTAACATGGATCATGTATACACTTTTGTGTGTAATTTTGTTAGATAAGCCCCGCACTTTTCAGACACTATTACTGGCACTGGAGACCTATGGGTCAGTTAGTCAGCTACAACGTAGGACCAGGCACATATATGCACTAGTCCAAGTTGCCAGAGTGAGCTACGTATTTTTTAGGGAGGACAACTTTCCAACCGACATGGTTGGATTGATAACGTTAAAAAGAACAAATGTAATGTTTAAGTTGAGATTTGTCTCAAAAAATGTCACCAAAACAGATAATCAAAAACACTAACTATTATGAATGTTTGAATCCTTTCGAGTGTAATTCCCAAATATACTGGTATTCTTACGGTTATCAGGACTTAAGAACTTTAAATAATTATTTACAAATATTTATCTATTTCATTAGTAATTAAACAACTTGATTTTCGAAGATTGGGTACTGGGTTTTAGTGGGGACTAATATAAGTAGTCCGAAATAAAAGGAAATATGAATTCCAACTGCCAACCACCGTTCAAAATACAATGAAAACTGAAACAGATTTCTCTTGGATCAAAATAGACTGATTGACAGAATAGAAACATCGAATGTATTAATTAGTTATGACCGAAAACAAACTCACAACTAACAAAAAAGAGACATACTAGGACCTCAGATGAACTGTCTAGTTGGTAGAGAACCCCGATATTATCTGATGTGACAAACTGAGATAAATGCCCTCGACCACAACCAATATCCAAAGCGACATCGAATTTTCTATGGTTTAAAAAAAACACAATCAAAGTACCTTTTCATTTCATGTTTACAACAATGTTCAGTTGAGTTGTACAGGAGGTTTGATTTTACGTATATTAAAGTAACTGAAGAATCCATATATCAACAAAACGGTGAACAATAATGACCACAGCAATTTTATTAAGAATTTGTAGATTTATCACATAAATATATAGTTTTATTAATCCGTTCGAAATACTGCAAATTAAATAAATTCTTGATGTTGACCATACAATACTATGGTCTTTAGTCTAAAATTAAATAGTAATATAGTTGTTCAATATAATGAATGAGGCAGGCTTGAGTCCCGGGTAGGATGCCACTTTGTTTAAAACTGAAAATACAAGTTCCTGATAGGGGACAGCTAGTACAAAACCTAGGTCCAGGGCTGCATGTCGACCTTTTTTAACCAAATATATGTAAAACTTCAATGGTCTTAACTCCGAATTTTCGAAACATACAAATAGTTTTCACAAAGTGGTATTTTTTGTTTCTTTAACGAATGTTGTAGTTGATGAGATGACACTAGCCTTTCTCATATTTTGATTGGAAAGTCTAACTCATTTTTACTGTAATCAGGATGAAATCTCATTTATTTCTTCGACAGCTTAAAAAGGAGAAAACTATAGGTGGGGAAGTTTCTTTTGCGTTGTCATTCAGAATAGAGAAATCGAAAATTTAAATTCTATGTAAGTTTTTTTTACACAATAACGACTCGATCTTGATTTTTATAGACTAGAATCAACTTAGGCAGATTTAAATAATCTTGAGAAGTCATATAAGGTAGTTAATTAGGTATTCACAGAGAATCACGGTTAGAAAACTAAGTCAAGTTAGGCAATATAGACTAAAAATAACACAAATATTTGATTGTACAACGCAACTTCTGTAAAAACATGACATGAAACTGCATTCCAAATCACATTCTCAAGAACAAAGATAAAACAATGATAACCTTGATATATCATTTAGGCGATCAGCTAGTCGGTCGGCAACTTCTTCACGTATGTAGTCATACATGTGAGGATCATCAGTAAGTGCTGATCGTGCGCGTTGTTTTTCTTTAACAGATTTATCAAATACTACATTTTGCCCGGTAAACTGATTTCTATATCCAAATGTGGGAATCACATATTTGTAGAAGCGCGTGAACGTATTAAGTACCTATAATAATAAGGTTGAGAACGGCATTTCAATGAGGTGCTCCAAATGACAAACAGTAACCGTCAGTGAACAGTATTTTACCATGTAATTAAATTTATATTGCTTGTTTTTCTATCTCTATGACATAAGAAAACGAACCAAAATAAACTAAGAGAATAAGGCAAGAACAGAAAAAAGTTGAAGTAGCGATTGTAAATAATATTGAGGTGGATAAGAATTAATTGAAAAATGGATCATTGGAGGTGGTTTAAAAAATGAGATTAATCATCGCAAATTCTACGCTTTAATTATTGTTTGGTATCCTTGAAACGTATCTTAAACTTTATGGACCATAAACACTATAATATCGGTGAGCAAGCACACATGATATCCAAATAATTCAGACGATTCATGTTTTCAACTCTATTATTTGACTTTCTTAAACTAAAACTCAATGTCCTAAGTTAACACTTAGTTACTCCGTCTGTTAGTTGTAGCTTGTTTGTAGCTTATACAAAAGACTTGACGACAGACTCGTTGTTTAGCCTGACGTATTTGGAGAGCGTTTAGAAAACAATGCAGTCAGTCAGTCAGCTACAACGTAGGACCAGACACTGTTTGTGAATTAATGTTCACTGGAATGTGAACACAGTGGCTTAAACTTGATTGGATTGTTTTTTAGCGCATTTACCAACATAATGATATTAGTAATCAAATAATACAGCGATTGTCGACATTGGAACTTAATTTAGCTAGCAGAAATTAAGCAAACAGGAGGTTAACCTGTCAAAGTACGCATTGAAAATGTAACCTGGCGTTTAGAATTTAAAGCTTTGAACTACAACTGAATGAGTGCCCAACTATTAAGAAAATAAAGACCGATTACCACTGAATAAGTGAATTCCTTACTCGGTAAATCACAGATAACGCCAATGAAACATTACTGGAAATTAGTAAACTGATTTCTTAAAAGAAATCCTTGAAACATGGAGAATCCGATTAATATGGTGATGCAGGTATTATGATACTTCAATTGAATACCCTCTAGAAGTTTCAAGAGGCAGAGTATAACACGAACAGGAGTCCACAGTCATTATCCAGTGCTATTTCTGTGTGGAAACCGTACCTAAGGAGGCTTAGCACATTCTGACACGATTAGCTTGCCGGAACAAAGCAGAATTATGAAAAACGTTTTGAAAGCAAATACCTGTCCTTAATACCGGGTAATGTAAATGTTTTAGTTTGTCAAAATAACACGTAGAATACATATAATCGATAACGATGAATTTTCGATATGTTTTTGTTTTAGTTAATTGCACGAGAAAAGTTGTTGGTATCGTAATGTTGCGAATTGCTATTAACTTTATAACCGATGAACACTTGTCCATATCAAGGCTACTTTTATCCAAAGTATCAAAGTAAATTTTGGGATGCCATCGTAATTCTAAAAACTTATTTGGGCCCTTAGAACTTCATTGTTGGATGCAGTACGACTGATTAGAATGAGAAGTGCCTAAACGAAAATGGAATTGTAAAGCTGATTCACTTTACTTTATAACTAGTCTCGTAACATTATAGCTTGCGTGAAACACACTTCCTCAGCAATGTAAAGGATGGGAATTTAAGTGTGCCAACTAAAGTTGTGTATACTTTCCAACATTGTAGGCCATACTGATATTAAACTGCTACTAGAAATACAGTTTAAAGGGCTTGAAATCCTACAGGGCTGCAAGTTTTCTAGGAAAATCGAGTATCAACTACTGTGTCATATTAATTACGTCTAAAGTATTTATTCTGGAATTAATGAAGATACGAAATACCTTAAAATTGACATGCAAGCATAAGATGATGAAGTAATGAGACATTCCCAATCTCTCAATTTTGAGGAAACTTTGGGTAAATTTTGGGGTTTTCCCAAATGTTTGAAAAAAACCGTGTTATATCAGAAAAAACCCTGAATTTCCTTAAACGCTTTGGGACTAACCCCAGACCTGGGGAAATTTTGGGGGTTTTGAGCCATTTCCCCAAAACGGACAAAAATCTCCCCCAAAATAGAGAGATTAATCTCTCTATTGAGTTTCAGTGAGTGAGCATCACAAAATAAAAATGAAATCGACATTGAACACTGGATTAAATGGCGATCATCTACTATAACTTGACGTTTTTAAGTGTTGAGTGCCTTCAACCTCTTCATAAGTAAACATTTTAAGTCCAAAAAGACAAACGAAATCAAGATGCAAACAATCCGACAGAATTGTGCGTTATATCTTTAAAAAACATCAACAAGTAACAGTCAACCTTAACAAACTGTTGGATTTCAGAGCCTTTCTAAAAGTTGCTTCCTATCGAAGGTGTTACTGACCTTCAGAACCATCCGTGAAAAACCCCGCTAATGAGACTTTAAACTTTGTCACATGGTCTGCATCATAGTTATCGATCAGTTGGCTGGAATTGCCATTTGAACAAATCTCTCGATGAGATGTGTTTATATTCTCAGCTCGATTCGCTTCTATCTGTGCCTAACTCCGCCTGTAGCTCTTCTAAAGTTACTGCCGGTCCCAAGCCCAGATAAAGGGGCAGGGTCGACCATGCAGTCGGCAACCCCGTCCAGTGGGAAAAAAATCTTACTAAAAAACCTCAACCAAATCAAACAAAACGAACCATTTAAACTTCGTCCTAGGAGTTGAAGTAAGAATTATTACGCCTCAAATTGAATGTCAAGATTCTTCGGAAGTCAAGAGGCCGTTGTCCATTCTAACAACCAGAGCGACAACTAATAAAAGTACACAGAACGTCCAGACAATGTGGGAGGACCAATCAAATAGCTGCAGAAATGAGGAGACACAACTTGGTTGTGCTCAGTAAAACCTATCGTACTCAAGCCGGACAGAAAACAGTAGATTCGAGAAAGATGCTGCTGTACTCTATACACGAGGAAGAAAATACTTTGCAAAGTCAGATAGTTGCTTTGACACTGCTCAAAGGAGCACGAAAGCACTTATAGGATGCGAATCTCATGGATTCGGGATCATCAAAGAATCCTTTAAAACAGAGAAGAAAGGAACCATGATGAATGTTATCCAGTGTTATACACCCACCATTTATATCAATGACGACAATAAAGATCAGCCTTAGAAAGACTGCAGTCAATCATAACGAAGTGCCTAGGAACCATCTCACCATCTTGATGGGAGACATAGACTTCAAAGTAGGAGTGCAAAACACCGGATTTAAAGATATCATGGGACGACATGAACTAGGAGAAAGAAACAAAAATGATGGGAGATTTGCAAACCTATATGCACTCAACAGTTTGGTTATATGCGGCATAATATTCCCACATAAATACATATACAAACCTACATGAATCTCACCGGACCACACCACTGAGAACCAGATAGATCATACTTGCATCATTAAAAATTCAGGTCAATGGGAGATGTGAGAAGCGGGAGGGGAGTTAACAGCTTCAGATCACCATCTACTTGGTGGTTGCCAAGATGAGACTGAAGCTAACGCAGCATTGGACGATTGGAAAAACAGAATAGAAAAGATTCAATACATCCTGCTTTCGACATACTGACAAACTCAACGAATTCAAGATAACGCTCAACAACAGGTTCCAAGCCTTACAGGATCAACTCAAAGAAGAAGAAACGTCTATGGAGAACAACTGAAAGGGAATCAAAGAAGCATTAACCTCAATGCGTCAGGAGATTCTGGTCCAAAAATATTGTCATCATAAGGAATGGATCTCTATCAAATCCCTGGACAAGATTCAAGAAAGGAAGAAAAAGAAGACAGTGATTAACAACAGTCGAACAAGAAAAGAGAATATTAAGGCACAGGCTGAATACATAGAAGCAAAAAAACAAATGAAGAGGAGCATCAGAGCCGACAAGCAGTTATGCGTGGAAGAGCTAGCAACGACAGATGATAAAGCTGAGACAGAAGAAAATATCGAACAACTACATGATAACGAAAAGACTGACAGAGAAATATGGCAAACCAGAGAGACCACCCAACGATAAATAAGGCAGGCAAATCACCGAGATTCGAAGAAAAGAGGAACAGATAGATGAAATTCTTCGAGGAACTCTTGGATAGACCTGCCGCAGATATCGAAGCGGCACCTACAAACGTTCCTATAGATGTCACCCCCGCTTTTCGAACGGGAAGTTTAGTCCTAACGTGATTTGCATATATCAAACTTTTGCTGTGTTCTTACGCAACAAAAGTACCATTTCAGTTCTAAAGAATCTATCCTGAGCTATACGTTCGGTAGATAACTTTTTTTTGAGTTTCACTATATTTAATAGTTACCTGTGGTTTTGCCTCAGCTTACTATTCGGTTTTTTTGTTTTTCACGTATAGAGTAGTTTCAGTTTATATCACTCGTTTAGTCCATTTTTGTCCGTTTTCAGTGTGCATTTTAGTGTTTTTTTTAAAAAGGTCTTAAGCTTTTGTAAGCATCTATAACATAGTTTGCTTCAACACCGTCATGAAAAACTCATGCAAACGTCCGGGATGCCGTTTTGCTGTCACAACTGGCATGCAGTGCGACAACTGCAAAGGTTGGTTCCACGAAGCATGCACAAATCTGACAGCAACTGCTTACAACAGACTCAGCAAGTCAGACCAAAAGTGGGTATGTGTCACGTGCAACACGGACGCAGTAGTCTTGCTGAGTAACATCATTGTCCTACTGACAGGTCTCCGGAACAAGCTGTCAGTTAACTTGGAACCCGACAGTAAAAAAACCGATATACAAACAAGAGCGCGCAACGGACTCAAAAATAGGGATGTCGATAGGTATACCATCGATGGGGCATCCATCAACACTAATGACGACGTGTCGAGGCTCAGTACCATCATTACGTCGACGGTACTAGACTCCCTAGGCAAACTCGGGTCTCCCAGCTCAGGGTCCCTGAACACAACAGTGGTTCCCAAAAACCCTGCAGGTGATTCGACCCACGTTACGAGAGCCCAAAAGAACCAGGCATCACCGCCTAAGCCGAGCAACCCAAGTGTTGCTGCACGGAAAATAACTGGTGATTTAGTCGCACAGTCTACCCCCAAGACTGTTCGTCCGGTCAATAAAGAGCCCAAGATTCATAAACGCACACTGACCTCCAAACAACAAGTTATTAAACGTGAACCCATCGTGAAACCTGGTAAATTAACAACAGTTCGTGACGATTCTCTCATTATCATGAACCTCGTCGACAATCCTGACCTTCCTCTCAGTCTGCAGGATAAAAACGACAGGATGCTGTGGGGTGAATTGAACAAGAAGCTCGAACTTCCTAGAATAGAGCCTTTGACGGTCACCCGGCTCACTCGAGGAAAGGATTCTAAGCATCTAAATCACCCGAGGCTTCTCCGAGTAACACTTAAGGATGCTACCGACGTAGAGGACGTCTTGCTAGCAAGTCACTTACTGAAATCAGATGGTAACGTAAGAATATTGCCCGACATACCGTACTCTGAGCGCAATATCATACGAAACGTCCCTAAAGAATCTCGCGAGAAGTTTTTCCGTGGAAGAAACATAATTGTCCAAGGTATACCGGAAAATGCAGACCCTACTCAATCAAATTCTGACATCAGGGAATGGAAATTCATCAAACAGTCCTTGAGGCTCAAACACATACTGACTCAGCATGTGACGAGACTAGCCAAGAAGGACGGTGATCTTAGACCCCGTCTGATGAAGATAACCTTCCCATCTTCCCACATGGCGGCTGCAGTTCTGGAAGCATTTCGTGCTAATAGACGTCGATTGCCACCTGGAATCCACATGCACCCGGATAGGCCATACGAAGTCAGGACCAAGAACAAAGGCAAGCTGGAGCTGACCATTCCACTTGTGGACTGTCTAAACGATAAAAAAAACGTGTAAAGGACAGGGCCTACCACCTCGGCAAACCTCATATAGGTGGGCTACCTGTCCATTCACATAAGGTTCATACAGAAAAACAGGACGAAGCTCACGCGTTCCAAATTGAAAGCATAAACTGCTTATATATGAACGCCGCGAGTTTACCAAACAAACTGGATGAACTACGTGAACTTAGCAACGCTAACAAGGCCCATCTGATAGGAATATCTGAAACCTGGATATCTTCTCAGTTCTCGGATCAAGAGTTAGCATTACCTGGGATGACTTTGTTCCGCAACGACAGAAAAATAGGAATTGGGGGCGGAGTAGCCATATACATAAGCTCTTGCTTGGAGGTGCACCAGGTTCACAACCTCGAGTTTAACAATCTTGAGGAATCCATATGGTGCTCTGTAAGGTTGTCTAGTACTTCCAGGTGTCTAGTCGGAGTCATTTACAGGAAGCCAACTGCCGACACCGAGTACGATAGTCGTATGCTGGAAGGACTATCCCGCTCTATCCGTCTCGGTTTCACACACATCCTGATTCTAGGGGACTTTAATCTCCCTAGAGTCAACTTCGCGGAACACACGCATACTGGAGGCGACAACTCAACTGAAGCTCGGTTCTTCAACCTCATCGATAACGTGGACTTATATGAAAATGTGAGGTCGACAACTCGTTGGAGAAACAGTCAGACACCATCGCGCTTAGACTGTGTATTCACTAACGAAGAATTCCTAGTCGACAACCTCTCAATCCTGGCTCCTCTGGGAAAAAGTGATCATGCCGTCATAGCCTTCAGTTTTGTCATCAAAACTAAGCTAAGGTATCCCAACAATAATTTGCGTTGGAATTTTAAACGGCTGAATGTGCCAGCTCTACATGACCATCTACAACAGGTGGTTTGGGATGTTCACCCTCAAATCGATGTGGATGGTCATTGGGACTTCTTACTGCACACGCTCTTATGTGCTACAGACCATTCAGTTCCTCAAACGGTTCCCAAAAGCTTCAAGCCACCTACAGTAATCAAGAACCGTACCCTTCGCCTCCTAAGCCGCAAACGGCACTGTTGGGCGGAATACAAACGAACTAATAACGATGGAGCGTATAGGCAATACAAACATATCAGGAACACATGCACGAAGGCTATAAGAGAAGACAGGCTTCAGTACCAAACAAAGCTTATGGACAAATTCGCCTCTAACCCTAGAAGCCTATTCCGTTATGCAGCCTCACTTCGTCAAGCCAAAACAGGAGTTTCTCAACTGCTAGGTCTTAACGGCCCGACCAACAACGATGGCGACTCCGCTAACCTTCTGGCGGCCCATTACTCTCAAACATTTCAACCGGCTGACATCAACTTTATTGACGACAGTTTCATCTGCAATTCCACAGGACTTTCTGAAGTGGACCTAAGCGCTGACTTGGTGTTCCGGAAACTGCAGCACTTAAGACTTGACACTTCTCCTGGCCCGGATATGGTTCATCCTGCCATACTGAGGGAGGC